TAAATGGCTGGATTTGTTTGGCTGCATGATTTATGCTAGGACCAGGCTTCGTTTTGGATGGCAAATCACCAAGCCTTCTTGGGCAGCTGTTACTTTAACTTTTGGGACTCCAGGGCCTGAGAGATGGAATTTGCAACTCTGGTAGACATGAGTACCATGGCAGCTTGGTGATTCCTCCATGTAGTTTGAGATGCAGTCAATTCAGCTGCCTGGAAGTTGTCTCAGCAGTGATCTTGAAGCCTAGTTCTTGGCGCCAGCCTGCCCCTGGAGATGCATGTCTCTATTCAGGACCTTCTGTTTAACAGCATTGTTCTTTTTTCAAACCAAACAGATGTGCAATTGCATGTCCTAAAAGACACATGGGTGATACTCCACTTGGTGGCATTGCACACTCCTTGGTCATTGAGAGAGCCATTCAGGTCTCCTCTACCACCTTGACAGTGGCAGCATTGACAAGCTCCTGTGAGAAAATGAGGCATGAGCTTTAGCCGCCACCATCTTTCGCCATCTTGCTCTCCTGAGCAGCCTGACCCAGTGAAGCACCAGCGAGCAAGAAGTGCTAATTTTGGAGGTGTGCTCGGGAGCAGTGCATAAGCTAACAGCTCAGATTTTTACCATCTTTTCTTCTGCCACTCAGTCTGGTCAACAGTTACGTCAGGCTGTTGGGTCCTGGACATAGTGGTTCAAGGGTTATAACCTTCAATTTTTGGCCACTCTTCCCATCCCTTTTCAGGGACACTACTCATGAGCAACTCTTCATTCAGAAGGTTGAGAAACTCCTGGGCTTAGGAGTTATGGAGGAGGTTCTTCAGAACAGGAAGGAAGAAGATTTTGCTCCCACTACTTCCTAATCCCAAAGGTCAAAGGGGGCCTCAGACCCATTCTGGACATGTGTTCCCTAGTAAGTCTCTCAAGAAGTTGAAGTTTTGCAGGGTCTCCCTGGCCTCCATCATCCCTTCCCTGGATCCGGGGGACTGGTATGTCACTCTTAACTTAAAGAATGCTTCCTTTCATGTCTTCTGACAGTTGTTTTCTGTGTTTCATAGTGACCAGCCATCATTTCCAGTTCATGGTGTTACCCTTTGGCCTGTCTCTGGCCCGCAGTATGTTCATGAAATTCATGGTGCACATTGCAGCTTTCCTGAAATGTTGGGGATGGGGAGATTTTTCCCATATCTTGATGACTGGGTCCAGAGAACATGCAAAGAAACCTCTCTCTGGGGTGTTTCACTTGCAATGATTTGGGTCTGTTAATAAGCACAGAAGAGTCTATGTTAAACTCTATGCATTGGACTGACACTATCAGAGCAGTTCTTGACTCCATGTAGGAAGCATATTTTCAGGCCATGGCGGACTTGATCTCCCACATAAAGAGCCTCCTGCTCACCACAGCCTACAGGTACCTGCAACTGATGGGCCACATGGCCACCTGCATGTGCATGGTCAGCTATCTTCCTCTGAGGTCTCTGTAGATATGACTGGCCTAAGTCTGTATCCCCAGTGGGCGCCACCTGGACTGAATGGTCATGGTACTGAGCCATGTCTTTCTTTTTCTGGACTGATGGCAGGATCCTAGGCCAGTGCTGCAAGGAATTCCTTTCACAGCCCTGTCTCCGTCACTTACCCTGGTGTTGGATTTGTTGGATCTGGGCTGGGGAGCCCACTTGGGTGTGCTCAACACCCAGGGATGCAAGAGGACCTAGCCAAGAGAGAGCTCAGAGCAGTTTGCCTGTCTTACCAGGCTTTCTTGCCCCACCTAAAAGGCAAGGTAGTGCAACCCCCGACAGAAAATACAGCCTCAATGTATTACATCAGTAGGCAGGGCAGAGCCAGCTCTTCAGGCCTTTGTTGGGAAGTGCTCAATCTCTGGAACTTTTGTGTGGAGTATGCCATTCATCTGGTAACCACTCTCCTGCCCAGAATCAAGAATGTGCTGGCAGATAACCTCAGCAGGACCTTTGTGTCTCGCCACGAATGGTTGCTCCATCTGGAGATGGTCAGCCTAATCTTCTGAATGTGGGGTACACCTTAGATCAGTGGTCCCCAACGCGGTGCCTGTGGGCGCCATAGCGCCCGCTGGGCCATTTATGTGCGCCCGTGGAGCAATGGCCAGAGCCCATGCTGGTGCCGGCCCCAGGGCGCACAGTGCCTGGGCAGCCCCTGCCTGGGGTCGCAGCACATGCCAGTGCCAGCCCTGGCCCCGGGTGCGTGGCACATGCCGGTGCCGGCCCCGGGTGCGCGGAACCTGGGTAGCCCCTGCTCGGGGTCGTGGCACATGCCAGTGCTGGCCCCGGGTGCGCGGCACCTGGGCGGCCCCTGCCCGGGGTCGCAGCACATGCTGGTGCTGGCCCTGGGCGCGCAGTGCATGCTTGGCCCCGCCCCCAGGCCCGTGGCCCATGAGCGGCCCTGCCCCCGTACACGTGGCACTTGAGCGGCCCCGCCCCCAGGCGCCCGGCAACCCCAAAACGTTGGGGGCCACTGCCTTAGATGAACTTGTCAGCGTCTAGGCAGAACAGAAAGTGCCCTGGGTTCTCTTCTCTTCTCCTTCCTGATTCCATGGTTGGGAGTGATGAAGTACGCCTTCCTGCTGGTGCTGTTAATCCACAGGGCCCTGCTAAAGGTGAAGCAAGAAAAAGTGACTGTTATATTCATGGCCCCAGCATGGTCCTGTCAACGCTGTTCAGCTTACTGCTGAGTCTCTCGACAGCCCCCCACTGCAGCTGTCTCTCCTGTCTTAGAACCATGGCAGCCTGCTGCCTCTGAATCTGGCGGCACTGCACTTGACAGCCTGGTTTCTGCCTGGCTAAGGATACACAGCAGTGTTCTGCTGGTGTCCAGCAGGGCCTGCTGGAAGCAGGAAACTTTGCACCAGGGCTACCTATGTGGCAAAGTGGAAGCAGTTCATGTGCTGGGCCTTGGGATTTTCACATTCGTGTGGAAGAGGCTGTGCTGCCAGACATCCTGGACTGTTTGCAGCATCTTAAGCTCTAGAACCTGTCGCTCTTTTCGGTCAAGGTTTATCTGATGGCAGCCATTTTGGCATTCCACCCTCTGTTTCAAGGCAGGTCGGTGTTTGCCCATCCCATGACGGCAAGGTTCCTGAAAGGTTTAGAATGCTTTTACCTGAATGTCTGGGATCTAGTTCCCCCTTGGGATCTGAATCTTGTATTGTCAAGGAAGGATCATAGGCCCCATTTCAAACCTTTGGCTTCCAGCTCCCTCTTGCTGCTCTTCTGGAAGGGCTCCTTCTTGGTTGTTATAACGTCATCCAACAGGATATCTGAGATTAGGAAACATGTGACAGAACCAGCTTATACAGCTTATAGTCTTCTAAAAGGACATGGTCCAGCATTGTCCGCATCTGGCCTTTGTGCCCAAAGTTGTCTCCCAGTTCCACACTGCTCAAGACATATACTTAATGGTCCTTCATCCAAAGCTTCATGCAATGGAGGAGAAATGCAGGCTTCATACTTTGGAGGTCAGGTGGGCGCGGACCTTCTGCATTGATAGAATTAAGCTGTTCTATAAGCCTATATGGTTATTTATTGCTGTTGCAGACAGGATGAAGGGTTGCCCAGTATCTATCTACAGAATCTAATCTTGGATCGTGGTCTGCATGCACTATTGTTATGAGCTGGCAAAGGTGCCCCCACTGGCAATTGTGACACCTTACTTAACTTGAATGCAAGTGTGTAATGGTGCTACTCCCTAAGGCCATAGAGAAGTTCTTTAGGAGGCTAGAGAGGCTCTGGAGGACCCAGCCAATCAGGGCCAGAGAGGACTACAAGAGAAGCTGCAGAATCAGAGGCAGCTCACTTGCAGCCCAGACCCGAAGGGAGAAGGTTAAAAGGGCTGGCTAGCAGAACCAGGGACAGCTCAGAGTGGGGAGCTGTTCATTACACTGTCTCCAGGAGAAGCCTTGGAGGCACCACTCTCCTGCTGAGTGGGGAAAGAGACAGAGGGGAAACAGATTGAGACTGGATTGGACTCAGAGACACACTGCAGAGCGTACTGGTATGGTCCTCTGTTAGAGGTGTACCCCGAAGGGGTTTGTGAGTGCATACTAGGCTGTGTAATTCAGCCAGAGAGCTGAGTAGCTGCAAGGCTTTTAAAACTGAGGCAGTTCAGGAACCCACACTCGGCTGAATTTAGGGTGCTCGCAGGAGGTGAGCGCCCATCCCGTTACAAGGTGTCAATTGGCAGCCTTCCTCGCTCAGGTGCCAGTCTAAGAAATTTGTCGGGCTGCGACCTGTTTGTCTATCCACACATTCTTTTGGGCTATATGCTGACCCAGCAAGGTCAAGATGATGCTGGTTTTGGCACAGCCATGCTCTAATCTGCAAGACTACAAACTCTGTGGCCACTTCTGAAGATTCTGCTCATGAGTTGCCTGCAATGAAATTGATGTGAGCAAGCATTCGAAGGAAAAACGGTTACCTCCCTTATTGTAACTGTTCTTCGAGATGTGTTGTTCATGTCCATTCTTTTACCTGCCCTCTTGCCCCTTTGTTGGAGTTGTCGGCAAGAAGGAACTGAAAGGGTGTAGTGCTGGCAACACTTGATATACTACAGCATGAGCACAGAACTCCCGAGGGTGCCACAGCCAGCCCTATGGATACTGCTAAGGCAAAAGTCTCTGACATCTATACATATAAGTGCATGCACATCTACAATGGAATGAACACGAGCAAAACATCTTGAAGAACAGCAGTTACGGAAAGGTGGGTAATTGTTTTATCTGTTCTACATGAAAAAAAAGTTTGAAGCAAGTTTTTCCACAGAAATTGCATATACATCTATCTTTCCGAGTACTCCATTTTTTTTGTCTTGATTTCTGGCATTTCAGATGAATTTGAAATTCCAAATGACGATAAACATATATGCTGCACATTCTTCACTTGGACGTGAGGATCAGTAAAAGGAACTCTATAGAATTTTCTGGTGTTTTTAGTGGACGAAAAGATGCTATTCAGTGTGTATTTTTCCTTTTCTGTTTTAAGGAAGAAAGAGAAAATCCTGCAAAGAGAAGTAGAATTGAACGTGATATAGATAACAATTTGATTACTTCCACGCCTCAAACAGGAGAAAAGCCTAACAAACAGCTCTCTCGAGTAAGACGGAAAAGTCAAGTAAATGGAGGTTTGTAAATATTCTATTCCTGTATTAAAAGGACAAAGTAAAAGGTCAAGGTCTAATACTTGTATGGTGACATATTAATATAAGGCTTGACTCCGCCCTGTTTGAGTAAATGAGAATTTTTCCATTAATATCAGTTGGAGCAGAGTTGGACCCACACAACGTTTGAAGTGTTCTTTCCTGGAGATTAATTCTAAGTATACGGGGTGGATGGGACTGAGAAATAATTTTATTAATATTTTTTTTCTTTTTAAGTTATGGGAAACCACCACGTCTTGGAACTACTTGGCTATATGATTTTAAACTCAGAAAGGCAATAGCAATATTTAGTTATGTGAAGCTGTTCATCTTCACAGTGTTTTGCAAACAGTTGAAATATTCAATAACTGGCAGTTTGTGTATCATTCCGCTTCCCAGGTGCTTGGTGAAAAGGAGCAATAAATGAAATTCTTTCACAAATTTACACTGGCATATATTATTCCGTTCTTATAGTAATGGCAATGTTAAAATGTAAAATTTGCAATAATATTTATTGTCCTAACCAACCTCTGCTGTTCTAGCACTAAAGTCAGTTCTCTTACTTGAAACACGGTTCCCATTGCACTCATGACTTTATTTTTTCCCTTTTTTAATTGAAAATCATACCCAGAAGTGTCTTGTTCTTCGGACTATTAAATCATTGCAGAATTTCTTTAAAGGTTTATTGAATATCTCAGTGACCTGGTAGATAGATAGACTTTCTATTTTCAAAGTGTGCTTTTATAGAGATAATTACATGACTTCGAATTCTTTCACAGCTGATGAAACTGCAGCTTTCAAGCTGTTTTCTAACTTGCCAGGACTTGTCTGGTGCAGTAACAAAGGAATGTGCTATTTTCAAAGAATGCAGGGTTTATTCAGTGCAAAATTTTCTAAATGAACTCATTATTTTACATCAATTGAGTATATGTTTTTATATTTGATGAAAAAATGTTGGATAAAGAATAATATAATTACCTAGTAAAGCAATAATTTCATCATTGAAAACTGGTGATAGTGACCTAACCATGAATCCTGTCTTAGAACAGTCTGTTTGTCACTAGTAACCCAAAATGAAATTATTGCGCTTTGGATTGAGCTGATAATACGTTGGTTGAGGAAAACAGTTTATTTTTGTAGTTGTGTTTGTTGTCCTTGTTCCTGTTCTTCCTACTTCTCCCTCTCCTCCACTTTTTTGGTATCTCAGATTCCCTTTGTCCTCTTTCCTTCCTTCCTTCCTTCCTCTCTCTCAGGACAGTTTACTATTGGCTACGATCTGTTTACCTGCCATTCATATGCAACATGGATTTACCTGTACAAGTGTCTTAAAATGTGCTGTCATCTATCTTTTGGTGAACAGATCAACTAAATGACTGCTAGGGAATTATTTTTCAGAGACTGAGGTGGTGATGATCTGGTATTCTATGGCTGTACAAGATGTCTTGTTTCAGAACAGAAAGACATACCTAGTTAAATGGAGAAGCTTCTTGCTAGTGAAGTCATGTTCACGACTTGACTCTTCTGTTCAGAATATGGTGCACTATGTACTATATTTGAAACACTCAGGATTCTCATCTAATTGTGTTAGAGTTCATCTAGCTGTTCTGTCAGCATATTTCCTGCTGGAGGGAGAGAATTTGGTTTTCTCTGACCCCATGTGTCTAAAATTTAAATAGCCTGATTCATACATTTCCACCAGTTAAAGAGCCTTTCCCTATCTGGGACTTAAATATAGGACTTGCATCTTTTTTTGAACACGTCATCATATCTCACTTTTCCATTAAGACAATATTTTTGATAGCCATTGCATCAGCTCACACGGTGAGTGAAATACAGGCTGACCTTCCTTCATATGCTTTGTTTCATAAGGACAGACACACTTTCAAGCTGGATCAGAAAATTTTATCTAAATGCCTTTGGAATTCCATATGAACTAGTTTATATGCTTATCTGCATTTGTTTCTTAAACCTTTTGGCTTTCTTATAGAGGTTAAACTCCACACACTGGATGTTCCCAGGGGCTATCCCTTTTTATTTACCCAGGATAAAGCCATTCTAGTAAATTGGCTAGACAGACTCGTTGCCAAAAGTCATATAAAGGGGTGAGTTCTGTCATATTGGAGGGCTCTGTATGGGTGGTGGACTGTGTTAAGATTTCCTGTTCATTAAACAAACTACTCCTTTCCTGTTGAATCAGTGTAGCTTGGTTGTCTGTAGCATGGGAGTCCCTATTTCTGAGGTTTGTTAGAGCACCTACTTAGAATTTGGTTTACATATCTGTTGCTGCTTTGCTGTGACAGTTTCTAGATCAGATGCCCTGCTGGCAGAGATGTCTCAGTCATGTAGCTAAGACTTCTCTTTCCTTAAAGCAGGGGTGGGGAACCTTTTTTGGGTTGGGGGCCACTGACCCTCATTAAAATCAGTTGAGGGTTGTGCCTAAGAAAGAAACCTCCCCCCCCCCCCAAAGGCCTCTCAGACATTGCTTTTGACTGAGAAGGAGAAAGATGCTCTCCACATTCCCCTCTCACATCAGAGCCAGGGGAGCCTGGCCCAGTAGATTTTGTGTGCTCCGGCTCTGTGGTGGGTTAGCGGGGGCTGGATACTGGGTGGAGGAGTCTTGAGCCATGAGGGCTGGATGCAGGCAAGCCAAGGGCCACATCCGGCACCCAGGCCTTAGGTTCCCCACCCCTGCTTTAAGGGGTAACTGCTAGTCAGTCACCTAGTAGTGGGATTCAGTGGGGCAAATGCTCAAAGGAGAAATTATTTATGTTACAGTAATTGGAGTTCTTCAAGATGCCCTTGTCCACACAGAAGCCATGGTCTGCTTTGCTTTCCAATTGCTTTGGGATCCTTACATGGATACTTGGTATTATTGAAGGAACTAAATGGTGGTTGCAGCAGCTCCACCCTTAAAACCTTTGCTTTTGGGGGTGGGGGTGAAGGCATACAAGGTACATGTGTAGCTTCCATGGGTACTGCTGACTGAAGGATTCCAGGCTTGCAAGTACGAGATGTAAACACCTGCGATAGGATTCATATACACAAAGGCATCTCAAAGAACTCCAGCTGCTGTAAGGTCAGTAACCTATCTTTGTTTCAGCTTCTGACTCCAGAACCAGAATACCACTACTTTATTTCTGGCTGTTACCCAAACTAGTTCTCGGCTGGCACTTTTCCTCTTTGGGAGGCACATGATAATACACACACATTTATAAAAAGCCTTACTCAATTGTTAATTAAAACTGAGATTTGCTTAATTATGTTCCATGACTTGTTGGTATATGTGGTTACAAAGAATAGTTCTAGTATTTTTTTAGAAAATCTAAAACATCATGCAGAATAACTAAGAGCGTGGTCCTGGTAAGTGACAGACATCTTCAGTATCCATTGGAGGCCCATTGACACCGGAATCAGTGGGCATTGAAGGCTCCCAGCACTTTGGAGGATTAACCCTAAATGTTTAAATAAACTTCTATACATTCACTTATAATGTTTGTCTTTTTATAATTGCTTATTTGAAGTGGTATAAAAAACATGTTAGTTTTGTGGTGAGATATTTAATTTTTCAGTAAGTGATGTTTCTGTTTTAGTAAAATGCTTATGCTAATTTATCTGACCTGTAGTAAAGAATAAGGAAAATTCATTGTGGTTCATATAATAAAATGTACAAGAAAAGAGTGTAAGCAGACATGAGAAACAAAATCAGTCCATTGCAGTTTTATATCTTTTTTTTTTCTTTTCTTTTACAGAAGCTGGAAGTTATGAAATGACAAACCAACATGTAAAGCAAAACGGAAAATTAGAAGATAATCCTGCCACTGGCAGTCCCCCACGGACTACATTATTGGGGACCATATTTTCTCCTGTTTTTAATTTTTTCTCGCCAGCAAATAAAAATGGTAATTATTATCATAAGCACACAATCCATAGTAACATAAAAACTAAGTGTGATACACGATTTTTGTTAAAATGTTGGATCTACTGGTGATGCAACAGATGATGTTCAAGTGCTTGCTCATTTCAATTCCAAATAGGTATGGGTGTGCTGCATGCATAGCTGTCGGAAGGTTTTTCTTCTATCAGTACCACAAGTTAGCTGTGGAGCCTCTTGGAGTTGTGCCTTCATGGCGGGATCTATCCATCCTTCCTGAGTCACCACCTCTTCAGCTCCTCTTTAGTGCTAGTGATGGTTGTTGGAGCAGCTTCTCTCTTGCATTTAGCAGGTGCTCCCCTAGTGGACTTTTCTTTACTGTTTTCTGTAAATAGTTAAGAGTTTTTATAGGTAGTATGTATAGTAGTTTGATAAGTTTTAGTTGGGAGTTACCCCTCATCCTTTTGTTCCCCTCCCAGGGACTGAGGCATGCCTCAGGGCACATCTACACAGCAGGGTGAAAGCCAAGCGACGCAACTTGAGCTACGTCAATTGTGTAGTTTAAGTTGAAATAGCTTATTTCGGCTTTTGGTGCTGTCTACACAGCAGGAAGTCCAAGGTATAGTGTGCTTCCTCCGACTTCCCTTACTTCTCATAAAATGAGGGTTACAGGAGTCAGAGTAAGAAGTCCTCCAGCTTGACATTATTTTGACATTATGTTGAAATAACTGCTTGTAGTGTAGACGCAGACTGTGTTATTTCAGGATAACATTAGGTATTCAAAAATAACCCTGCTGTGTAGACATAACCTCAGTCTCAGGGTTTCAGGCCATGTGGGTCCTGCCTGAGGCCTATGCCAAAGGAAGACCCACATGACTCCTATCTGAAGTGCCTTGGACAGTCCCACCAATCAGACAAGTGCAAGATCTGAAGAGGCTTCTAGCCAAGAACCAAGAAAAAAGGGGACTTTCGTCTGAAACTTCTGATGGAATCAGCCCTTCACCTTCAGAGGGCCCAACCGACTTCTGACTCCAGGCCCGGCATTTCAGCGTGAAGTGTGCTGGCCTCAATGAGGGAGGCTTTGATACCAAGAGAGGAGTCAGGCTTCAGGGACCCTCGGCATGGCTGTTCCCTGGCACTGAAGACCTTTTTTAGTGCGAGTGCCCGTCACTATTCCCATTTATTGGCGCTACGTGAAAAGATATGGATGGACTGGGGATGCTCCCCCACTAAAGCAGTGAGGTGAGCAGGCACCGGTTGGGTGTGCCTCATGTCGGGACACGGTGTCCAGGATCTGGATATACCAGCCCCATCACTCCGGCCTAACGAGGTGCTATGTTGAGTCCAGTCCAGATTTGCTGCTTTGTGTAGAAGTGCCTGGAGCAGGATCTAGACCTCCTGTCCACGCTGCTCTCTTTTTAAGTGGCCAGGGACCTGATTGCAATGATGGCATACTCCCCTCTCCGTCACCGGCATTCACTTCAGCATCACAGAGAAGCTCTAATTGCCCTTGCTGTGGTATCGCTTCTCAGCTCTTCCCTGATTACTGAGATTGGAGTTGGAGGTGGACTCCTATGCCTCTAGGTGGAAACGGTACTGTTCCTGCCATCACTCAAGGCAGGAAGATGGACTGCAGTTGCCCATGTGCACTGGCCAGGGCTGGCCCAGGGGCCCTTCTGGATATTATGGGCCACCAAGCCCAGGGCCTGAGTTCCAGATCAATGTTGGTGTTTTTGGAGGTGAGGATCCCTCCCTCAGCAACCTCTCTGGGGACAGGAAATGGCATTCAAGTTGATGCCAAGACCAATGTAGGTTCTGGAACTGGTACCAAGATGAGTAGTCTTGGGAACTAGTGATGTCAGTGGTACCACTCAGGGGGTCTCCATGGATGGCAATGCCACAAAAAAGAGGGGCAGGAAAACCCATTGCTCCTGAGGGCATTGTCCTTATTCTTCCTGGATGAACTGGTGGTGAGAACTTCCACCTTACTGCCTGCCATGGACACCAGAGTATATCAGGAGCTGCTCAGGAGGGTTGCACAAAACCTTAATATGCAGGTGTACTAGGTCTCAAAGGAGACAATGCTATGATGGGCATTATGGCCACAAGGCTTTGCCCCTCATTAAAAACATTCAGAACACTGCTAAGGTGTTACAGCACACACTTGCCTCTCTTCCTCCTATAGTTAAAGTGGTGGAACGAAGTAATTTGTGCTCTGCATAGGATATGAACACCTATTTATCCACCTGCAGCTGGGTTCTCTAGTGGTAAAAGGGACCACATGGAAAGACAGGATTAGCTGAAGTTAACCCCCAAATCCAAGGAAGCAAAGAAGCTGGATCTCTTCAGTCAGAAGGTGTACTCATCTGGGGGTCTCCAGCTTCACATAGCTCTCCAGTCAGTGGTCCTGAACTATTACTGCTACAATTCCTGGAATATCTTGTTTAAGGTCCAGGAATTGATACTGGCAGACTCTCACCTACTTGGAATTGACATGAGCATCACATCTCGAAGAACAACAGTTATTTCTTTTTGACTGTCAGGGCGAGAACTGCAGTTACCATAAAGGAAACGGTATCTAACTATTAGAATGGTTGTTTGAGTTATATAAGAGGAGGCATGGGTTTTGTTGCATTAAAATATTTGCTTCCTAGTTATAGATGTCTAACACTTCACTTACAAGGTGTAAGAAACTCATTTGGTATTTTTCACCCTATCTAAAATGAATTTCTCTCTCAATCCAACATTTTATATTTCAATATAATGAATTATCTTCAGTTATTCCAGAACACATTATTTCTGAATTTACACATATTCATACTCTGTTAAGTAATTCAACATTAGGATAATAATTGCACTGAAACCTCATTTCAGGAACATCGGGATCAGATTCCCCTGGGCAAGCTGTTGAAGCTGAAGAAATAGTGAAACAGCTTGATATGGAACAGGTGGATGAGATCACGACCAGTACTGCAACATCGACTAATGGTGCAATTTACACTAGCCAAGCAGTGCAAGTCAGATCTACTATCAACAACGGTTTGGAAGAAGTGGAGGAAACAACTGATCGTGATCTACCACCACTTACAGGTAAGAAACTTGCTTTTTCCTGGAACTCTTAAGTTAAATGTGCAATAATAAACATGTTTGCACTTTTGAGTAAAAACTTTTTAGCTCAGAGTGTTCCTGTATTTTATATAAATAAAGATTCCACATTTGCTTGGGAATAATATAGCTTGTGATAGCATTTACTTGTATGCTGATTTTTTTTGACCCAATAGCCTGGGAAACAGTCTGTTATTTACAATAATGTTAGAAATGTAGCCGTGTTAGTCTGGTGTAGCTGAAGCAAAATACAGGACTATGTAGCACTTTAAAGACTAACAAGATGGTTTATTAGATGATGAGCTTTCGTGGGTCAGACCCACTTCCTCAGATCAAATAGTGGAAGAAAATAGTCACAACCATATATACCAAAGGATACAATTTAAAAAAATGAACACATATGAAAAGGACAAATCACATTTCAGAATCAAAGGGGGATGCGGAAGTGGAGAAGGAAGGTGAATGCCTGTGAGTTAATGATATTAGAGGTGGGGAAGGGTAGATGTCTGTGAGTTAATAGTATTAGATTTAAAGGAACCCAAAATATATTACTTTGAAAAATATTATCTCATTATTTATAGTGCAGAGGTAGATTTACACACTGGAAAATATATGCCGTTCTGGAAAGAAAGTGATTTATGCAATAGTCCAGCATAATCTTTCTTGTATATTAGTACAAATTCCTCACCCTTTAACTTTAGCAAGTGTGTACAACTTGTCATACTAATTACCATAGAAATCCCTCTAAAAGTTCTTTTATTTTGTGTTAAGGTCTCTCTCTCTCTCTCTCTCTCTCTCTCTCTCTCTTTTGAAGCAAAATGCAGGACAATGTAGCACTTTAAAGACTAACAAGATGGTTTATTAGATGATGCGCTTTCATGGGCAAGACCCACTTCCTCAGATCAAATAGTGGAAGAAAATAGTCACAACCATATATACCAAAGGATACAATTTAAAAAAATGAACACATATGAAAAGGACAAATCACATATGTGTTCATATGTGTGTTCATTTTTTTAATTGTATCCTTTGGTATATATTTTTTTCCACTATTTGATCTGAGGAAGTGGGTCTGGCCCACGAAAGCTCATCATCTAATAAACCATCTTATTAGTCTTTAAAGTGCTACATAGTCCTGTATTTTGCTTCTGTTATTTACAATGATATTCTGTTTTTGGCAAACTTCAGGCCAAATCCATTCCTTGTGTGACTGAGTTGACTTCCAAATTTAAATGAATCTTTTGATTCCAAGTGTCAGTTTTTCTGACTCAATACAAATGTAATAAAATGAAATGTAAACTCTTGAAATGCCCATCACCAAAAAGAAGTTCCTAACCCTTTGGTTGCTGTTACCAAAATAACATAAACAAAAGGCAAATGTATATAGTTCCCTCCTTAATTTACAGTGTTTCCTTCAGGAGAATCATTGGGTAATTTTTCGATGAAAAATTCTTGAAACATTAAATTTACCATTGTGTACAGAGCTGTCACAAGCCTATCAACTATTTAAGTCTCATTTTAAAGCTTCAAATATGAAATTTAAGTAGAGTATGGCTTAGTGTAGGTTCGCTGCTGGGAGGTGAATTTCTCCCTAGAAGATGTAGGGCTGAAGTGAGGAGAAGATGATGGAGAATTTTCACTGCTACTTAGGTATTGTGTGCAACATTTTCACATTTTAAAACAGTACACTAATAAGACTAGCTCTTGTGGGTTTTTTTGTTTTGTTTTGTGTCTTTCCATTGAATTTTAGCACCAGTATCTCCAGACAGTGGTTACTCATCAGCTCATGCAGAAGCCACCTACGAAGAAGACTGGGAGGTCTTTGATCCGTAAGTGTTAATGATTTTACTGAAATACTACTTTTATAATTTTGGGGCTTTGGATAAAAAAAACCTTGTATTTGAGCAAATACTTTGTCATGTTTAGCACTTTCTTGCTATGACGAGTTCTATTTGAAATCATAAGATGTATATTGTGGCGGTTCATGATAGGAATGTAATAATGTAGACGTTTAACCAATTATCTGATAAGCAAAAGCGTATAGGTTAATGCTGTAGACTACATACATTTCCCTCCTTCTGCCACCCTGCACCCTTCTGCCACCCTGCACTGCTGCCTCTGTATGAGAGGCAGGAGCATAGGGTGACAGGCAGCCAGTCCTTGAAGGCAGCTGGTTTTTCAACTGACTTTCCTCGCAGACCAGCTCCCACCTGTCACTTCACACAGAGTGGCAGAGGGAATTCTTAAGAGTGGGGCTGGAAGTGCATTGGTTGCTAGCCCTGCCCCCGGGGACTATAAAATAGTCGACTAACCAATAAGAATTCATGACCATTGGGATTGGTCCTGCCTTGGGCAGGGGGCTGGACTTGATGGCCTTCTAAGGTCTCTTCCGGCTCTATGATTCTAGGTTACTCAACTATTCAATTAATCGATATTTAACATCCATAGTTCATGGCTTATATTCAGTTTAAATTTTTTATTTCTTACTCTTAATTACTTTCAATTACAGTATTTGACTTATTCCACTGTCAGAGTAATGTAACTGTATATATTCAACAAATTATCTTTCCTTTTTAGATATTATTTCATCAAACATGTTCCACCACTAACTGAAGAACAACTTAATAGGAAGCCAGCTCTTCCACTGAAAACAAGAAGCACACCAGAGTTCTCTTTAGTTTTAGACTTGGTAAGTATGTATATAGACATAAGGTAGTTGTGGGAGAAGAATTAATTTATGATCCACTTATTTTGCATGTTGGACACCTTGGGAACATGATGTCCCCATTATAAAAAAGAGACCTTATTAAATGTACTTGTTGATAGACAATAAAGTATTAAAATGTTTTTAAAAATTTAAATTAAAAATACACTGAATGCAAAGGAATAATTTGAGAAATGGTCATTGAATAACAAGAATGGAAAATTCATGGCATTTGTTGTGTGATTCAACATTTTTTTCCCTAAACATTTCAATTTTTTAAATCTTCATGAACCAAAGTTAGCTGACCCTCCATGGGACCTTCCCATAACAGTAGTAGAGAAAATCAATTATAGGATAAAATTCAGCATCACCTGTACTTGAGCAAATACTTATAAAAGATCAGGTCTCTGAGGCTATGTCCACACTATAGCCTTTTTTGCAAAAACATCTGCAAATGAGGCGAAGTGTGGAATATCGCCATGCCTCATTTGCATAATTAATGAGGCTACATTTTTGCGCAAGAGGCTTTTGCACAAAAAGGAGCCATCTACACAGCTCCTTTTTGCGCAAAAACCCCCTCTTGCGCAAGAGCCGGTTTCCTGGGGGAAAAAAGCGGAAGAATGGCTCTTGCGTAAGTGAGGGTTTTTGCACAAAAAGGAGCTGTGTAGATGGCTCCTTTTTGTGCAAAAGCCTCTTGCGCAAAAATGTAGCCTCATTAATTATGCAAATGAGGCACGGCGATATTCCATGCTTTGCCTCATTTGCATATGTTTTTGTACAAGAGGGGGCAGTTTAGACATAGCCCAAGTGAGATTCCCTTTTAAGTCAGAGGAATCTTTTCTCAGAAAAGAGTGTGCTTCTTTTTAGAATGATTTGTTTTCATTCTCTGTTGATCCATTTTATTGTATTTAAGCTATTGCTACTGGATAAGTCACTGGCTATTTATAGTTGTCATTTAATGAGCAAAGAAGTCTATTTTTTAAATGAAATGGGAAACAATAACTCTAGAAAGACTCATGGGATAACTAAAGTTAAGATGGACGTGATAAGCTCTGTTTTATCATGTGCTATGTAACCTATTCTACACAGGTCATATGCATTGGACACCCATTTTAGACTGATAGGAGTAAGCTTGTATTTAATAAGAGGAATTTATTGGGCCTGTAAAACCAAAATGTCTTTCTCTTGGGACTCTGTGTTGGTGCCAGAGTTACAAATGAAATTCTCACGGAATTGCAACATTAATGAATTGTATAATTCACTAATGGCTGTCTTTCAAGCCTTGGCAGTGTTACATGGAAAGCTAAATTGATCAGACTGAATTATAGAGTATGTTTTCCTTGCAAAAGAACATAAAGAGTCTTCTTTTCAACAATTCTGTCACAATAGATTCTTAATTTAGTATGATGTTTATGTTTTTATTTTTTCTAGGATGAAACATTAGTGCATTGTAGTCTAAACGAGTTAGAAGATGCTGCACTCACTTTTCCAGTGCTTTTCCAAGATGTCATTTACCAGGTAATTAGAACTATATATGAAACATTTAGTTTTTTGTTTAATAGATAAAGTTATTATTCTTATGTTGTCTGGTCAGGAGAGAGTTAAACGTTGACTGGCATCTAAACAGCCGTTTGAGTTATATGCTGCATATTTGAAATTCTGGGGCAGGTGGTCATGTATTAGAAGTATTGTGGAGTACTTTTTATTACTATAACACGGTAATGATGATTACTAGCAATGATGTCAACAATGATTAGTAAGAAAATGTAAATATTCTTTTTAGCAGCTGTATTGTATAGCAGCCTTTCTCCTTTTCAGCAGGTGGAGACAGGAACATTGAAAGTTCAGGCAGTATCATTCCCCCTGTAATAACTTGCCACAAATGTAACTTTCTTCCCTAAATGGGGAAACCAATCCATGTTGTTGATCATTTTTTACTGTGAAAAAGGCTAATCTTCAAAACCTCAAGTTAACTAGCTTCTATCTAGCATACCTAGTCTTGCGTATCTTTTGTCAGTAACGTTTTTACCTCTTCCACTCCAGCTAGATTCTACGTGGTGATTACAATTACTTTTGATTGTCTTGTGGAACCTGCTAGTTGTTTTTCCTGCTTCAGGCAGTATGATTAGCTTTATATGTTTTACATTGACATACTATAGAGGAACAGGCATGGGAAAGAGGAGATCTGTTCCAGCAACTGCCAAAGATGCTGCACTGACCCAGGCTGTTGTTCTCAGGTCCTTTTGTGTGATGTACCTGGGAGTAGCAACAGCTTCCCCTCCATGTAGTTCGCACGATATTGGACCCCTCTGTAGTATCTTTGGAGAATGAGCCAGTCATCAGGCACCTTAAAAGGACACTTGTCCAGGTATTTTTCCTAATTTTAAAAATGTTTTTCTTCGTTGTTGCATATAAAACCCCTTGGAATTTTGAAACTAAAATAATTTTTAATGGGTTTCTTTAACTTGTCTCCTATTTGGTGACTGCCATTCTCAGTTTCCTCCTGGATGAGCTGGGAAGGAAGCTTCAAATTAATTCTTTGGGGGCAAATAAATTAAGCCTTTTTTTCCTCCCCTTTCTGAGGCTTTCAATATAATTTGAATATTTCTGGCTATAACTATGCTCCTTTGGTGATGGTGTGTTTTACTAAGTGTAGCTGAGAGCCGGCTTAGGGTCTGATCAAAGGCATATTTAAGTAAATGGTGGAAAGGTTTCTATATCTGTATTAACATCATTGTACGTAAGCGTGCTCCTCTTTTTATCTAATCCGATGATGATGTGGCTTCATCTATTGTCCCGAGTTTAGAATTGTAGAGGAGCACTAGCGTCACAAGGTAGGCTTGGGAAGGGCAGCCTGTGCCTATATCACCTATGTTGTAGGATTCCTGGCCACCTATTTATTTTACTGCAGTGGCTGTAAACCAGACCTGACAACCCAGACAACATTAATCTCTTGCTACTTGAGGGACAATAAGCAGGAGACTAAAAAGTAAAAAATGTAGTTATAATCTTAAAATAATGAACTGAGGCTGAGGGTAAAAAGAGAAATTTCCCATTCAGAAACAAACACTGAACAAACACTTGTTAATATTGCATACATTCTTAGCTTTGTATTGTAGACATTAGCCAGCTATTTCATCTGGTTTTGAAAAGCGATTATTTCAGTTATCTATTTGGTCATCTCCTCTGCAATAGGCCATCTGAATTTCAGATCTCCAAACTCGCCCATAGCGTGTCATTTAAGCTTTCACTGGTGTTGTCTCCTCCTGCTGGCAAGGAGGAAGTAAATGTCTGAGCAAAAGTTGAAGACAAATTATTAGGTAAGAAAATATTGTTATGTGTTTATAAACTACAGTACGTTGTAGTTCATTGAAAACAAAACCTGACATGGAAGACCAGTTTATGAAAATATTTTCTATTAGTCTCTGAACAACTAATAACTTCAGTTAGACTATTGAAGAAAAACTATGAAATTAATTATAAAAAAACATGCTTAAATCTTGTTTTTAAGAGAGAGTAAAACTTAGTTCAGTACTTCTTTTCCTACACGGTTTCTCCATTATCTCATACCCAGTTGCACTAATAATTATGCAGAAGGAGATCTGATTTCTCTAACTAATTGAAAGCCAGGAAATGATACTTTTTCAGTAGTGGGAGGGTGGATGATCAAGCAGCTTATTTGAAGTATATTCCAAAACTGGCTATCAACAATGCTGCAGAAATGATAACCAATTTATATTGAATATCACAGTACATCTGTCTCTGGGAAACAAGAGTTAATGTTTAATTTTTTAGCAATATTGTATGAATTTATTTTATAATGTATTAGCACTTTGTGTCAGACTCTCCCTTTTGTTACTTGGTTAAGAGGTTTCTGCTGTAGCACCACCAATCTTAGTCAGTAGGTCATTTTGTTCCCTCCAGCATTCAGAGAATACCTTCCATCTACAAGCAGGCCTTACCCAGCCTAGAGATTTCTGTTCACTTAGTTCTTGGATTTAGCAATCTCTCTGATCTTCCTGTTTCAGCTACCTAAGCCAATAGTATCTGATCAAAAGACATTTCACATATTCTACCTCATTGTAGCCAAACATAACTGGGTTATTCAACTCATTACTCTGATAGGATGTGGCAGGGGGTATCTGAGAGTTTTCATTCCTCTTCTGGTCACTTGCTACCACACTGGCTTCTCTAAAAGAGCAACAAGCATCCCATGTATCATTTGTGATCTTTAATCTATGATAGGCACTAGGGATGTTAGAGTATAACCATTTAACCGATGCTTATCGGTTAATGGTGTGGGTTACACTCAACCGGGCAGTGAAGCCTCCTCCCTGGGAATCAGGTCTGCTATTTAAGCTTTATACTAAAGAGCCCACAGTGTGTAATTGCTAAGATTTTCAGTGGTTACATGGTTACCTGCTAAACTGACTTTTAACGTCCCTAGTAAGCACCCACAAAGAAAGCTACTATCATATTGGGAGCTCTTACCCTTGTGTGATAGACTGGGCCAGGTCTGGGGATCGCTGAGGGCGTCCAGTCAGAGTGAGTTGCCCAAAACCAGGGCTGCTTACAGCCCCAGCCTGGAGACCTTTCCCAAAACAGGTCACAAACCAGTCGCGCAGAACATAAGAATGGCCGTACTGGGTCGGACCAAAGATCCATCTAGCCCAGTAGCCTGTCTGCTGACAGTGGCCAGCACCAGGTGACCTGGAGCAGGTGGACTGAAGACAATGATCAAGTGATTTGTCTCCTGCCATCCATCTCCAGCCTTTGACAAACAGAGGCCAGGGGCACCATTCCTACCCCCTGGCTGCTAAGAGCCTTTTATGGACCTAACCTCCATGAATTTATCTAGCTTCTCTTTAAACTCTATTGTAGTCCTAGCCTTCACAGCCTCCTCTGGCAAGGAGTTCCACAGGTTGACTGTGTGCTGTGTGAAGAAGAACTTTCGCTTATTAGTTTTAAACCAGCAACCCATTAATTTCATTTGGTGTCCTCTAGTCCTTATATTATGGGAACTAATAAATAACTTTTCTTTATTCACCCTCTCCACACCACTCATGATTTTATATACAGTCGCTTCCCAAGTTACGAACAAGTTACGGACCAATGCTTGGTCCATAACTCGAAAAGTTCGTAACTCGGATCCCATAGAGTTACATGGCAACTGCTCTGTTCGTAAGCGCGGATCGCCGGTCGTAACTCAGATCCGCATTTACGGCTGCTTTGGTCATAAGTGCGGATGGTCGTAAGTGGAGGTGGTCATAACTCGGGGAGCGGCTGTACCTCTATCATATCCCCCCTCAGTTCCCTCTCAGTCTCCTCTTTTCCTGCCAATCCGCCAGCAGGAAGCCTCACGATCAAAGCCCCTCAGGCTGTACCTCTATCATATCCCCCCTCAGTTCCCTCTCAGTCTCCTCTTTTCCTGCCAATCCGCCAGCAGGAAGCCTCACGATCAAAGCCCCTCAGACACCCCAGCTCTCTCTCTGCCACAATCAGCCCCGGGCCTACCACACAGGTGAGGGGTTATAGGATCCAATCTTACCTACCCCGAATGGATCCTCCTGGTCCCAAAGAACCAGCCAGAGATTCCTGGTCAGTTTACAATTTGGATCTTACCCACAAGATCACGCTGGGCCAATCCTTTAGAATCTAAAATCGAAAGGTTATTAATAAAAGAAAGAATAGGTTGAGAGTAAGGTTGTTAAGGAAAATACATTACATGCACCAATCACTAAGTTCTTGATGCAGGCTCTCAACAGAGAGGCTATAAACTTCTATCTTAAAAGTCTCTGGTGTACATCCTATGTCAGGATGGGCTAACAATCCTTCCTGGCTCTCTGTCCCTCGCAAGGCTGCATCTGGGATCAATAGCAGAATTGAAGACAAGATGGAGTCCGCCTCATGGCACTTTATATCCATTCCCGGTGTCTCCCAAGCTGGAGTGGGTCATATGGCCAAGTGACCTATCCTTGTGTTCCATGCCAGCAGCCATTAGATACTGATTGGTTTGCAGGTTTCCAGATGCATTCCTCAGGTGTGTATTGGGCACCTTGAGAGCCATTGTCCTTGAAGCAGTGATAATTAGCATAGTCGTCAACTGAACAATCCTTCTTTACAACAGGCAGTGCAGGCCAATTTTAGCACAGAATCCATATTCATAACTCCACATACAAACATCACACAAGTATATGAGTAGCACACATAGAATCAGTAGAACACAAGCTTTCATTTGACACCTCACATGGCTCCCTTTCTACAGACTTTGGGGCAAACACCCTCCCCGTGGGTGCAGCAGTGATCTGACTGCTCCCCTTAAAATCCAAAAACGTGACACCTTGATCTAATTGGACTTTTAGAACTATGTTTTTCTCACCTGGAGAGCCACAGTCAACTTAAGAACCTGCTGTTTGTTTATATGGTCTTTGGTCTCTTACAGTTGAGTAAGATGAGTCTAGTGGCAAATCCAGAGCTATTAAACTTCACTGACCTATAACACCTCAGTATTCCTTTAA